GGGGGGGGGCAAGCACGGCTTACTAGATTATTGTAGTAAGTCGTGGGGGCAAGTGTGTCACAGCGTTCGCAACTGCATAAGGTCATATGAGCGTGCAAAACACATTAAGCAATTCCAGTTCTGTAGGGATTAATCTTGAATGTTGCCCGGATGGCAGCGGAGAACACTTATCGATTTTAGGACCACCAAGAGATCTTTAAGGTGCGCAACTTGCACGCGGGACCTCTGATATTTTTTCCCTTATCTGATCATACCTACCCTAAGATCAGGGGTGTGGCTGAAAGACAGCAGTTAGGGGGACAGCAATAATGAGCCAAGGAGTAGCAGTAGAAAGGCTGCAAAAGGAGTCAGGAGCCCAGAGGAGGGGCAAAGAGGAGGGGACCGGCTGTGGCAGAAAGTGGGGACGAAATCAGACGACATAACATTGTTAGAGAGCAGGAAAAGAGGTGAAGAGGGAAATATTTTAGAGAAGAAAAATGTCCTTCACTATCAGGTATCGAACCCGGGACGTATTGAATGAGAGTCGAGCAACTTACCTCTAGACCACTCGAGAACCCCCAGTTAGGGTTTCTGATATGCTCAAATTAAGCTATGAAGTTGAGAGTCAAGATTCATTATACAGTAAATCTGACAAAGATTGATCAATGCCACGTGCAGCACGGTATTTTGTATTTTTCAGCAATAGACTTCTAATGCAGCGAGAGCATACGACCAGAAATAAGACGGAAACAGACGTAAAGGAAGGCCCAGGGAAAGATAGAGAGAGGGAAGGGAGTCAACGAACATTGGTGAAGAGCAACATAACCGTGCAGCAGGCGATACAACAAACAAGAGAAAGACGTTTGCTTTTCCTCTCGACACTGCAAAGTAACAGAAGCTGGAATATGCTTAAAAAATAAGTAAGTTTAGTGTTTGCTAACTGATGACTTGTTTCTTGTATGTTTTTCTAACTGCCATCCAACATGTCGGCCGTGGTTGGTGGAAATGGGGATTGGGGAAGGGGTTGGGGAGACGTCTAACCATTCAGAATTTTACAAAGTTAAGGGGGGGGGGGGGGGCTACACCTGAAGGCTATCTCGCTTATTTGGGAACCAAATTTCACCATATTTCACACATATAACAAGCATAGTAAGGAGTCTTAAAATCCGAAAAGAAATTGAGGAAAAAGTTTCGTTTCCATGGATACGGCAGCCATATTGGATGTTGTTGACATGTCATACGTAACGAATACCGCACTTATCGTTCTTGGGAATTAATTGCTTTTTTTGCGTGCATGTTAACAAACATTATATCTAAAAATGTGTCTGTTGATCTTTTCCTAAACGAATTAGAAAACTTTTTACGAATTTGTTCCTGAGGTAGTATTCAAGTTTGCAAAAAAATCCGTGAAAATCCACACTTCAGACACCACCACCAAAAATCTATCCCATATATCAAAATTTCAACAGAAAATTTTTAAGTATTACATCTTCTCTTCATTTTGAGAAAATTTCACGCAGATTGAAGGGGGAAAATGGTGGCGTTATTCAAAAAAGTATAGAGAGAAAAATCGCGTTTTGAGAAAATGGCCGATGAAGAAAAAAATTAATAAAATACTGACTTTATGAGAAAATGGTGGTGACAAGCATGCCCGGTATGGGAAGAAACAAGGATTTTGGGGGGTTCTTGTACGATGAAATAGTTGCAGGAGAGGCTGAGGAACCGAAAAATGCCTACAACTCAAATTCCATAATTTTGAGCCTAATCAGGACTTTGCCTCCCCTTTAAACACCACTTCTCGTTCTCTTATATTCTGTGGGACACATCTGGCACTCCGGGTTGACTACGATCAATGCAACTCTGTACTGTAGCAGGTAGATTCTAGACCTACCTATGTAATTGGTGTTGTATTGAAGTCTCGGTACAATTATAATTGCTAATCATTTGCACTGGTGTTTTTAGTTCGGTGATCAAAAGAATCATTAATTTTACATATCGCTAGCCGCTTGATTAAACTGCCTAAGTGCAGGAGAAAAAAAAACGGTTTTATTTCTTTATGCTCGTACCTATGAATCTGAAATTCAGATAGATCTATGTAATATAATAGGATGTAGGAAGATGGTGTGTAACTAACTTTAAACAAAAAAAACCTTTCTTACATAAGTTACTGGACATAGGCGGTTCAGACCTACCAAAATCTGCGTGATTCAACCTCCTAATTGACAGTATGACGGCGTCTAGGCGTTTGAATCACGTTAATCAACGCCACTCGAAGAGCACCAATGGTCGCTTAGGCGTTTGAATTATCGGCTAAAGCAAATCATAATAGTTTTGTAGTATTTATAAAGTTATTTGGTTGTGTCTTCAGGGGCAGGTCTGTTTTTTGGCCTCATAGAGTTGGTAAAAAAAGACCATTCATCTTAACGTTCCGTTTGTACTTGATGTTTTTGTTCAGTGTGATAACATGGTCTATTTCGTTTCAGCCAATTCTGAATGGTCCAGAAATCGAACATCAAAAGGGAGGGGGGGGGGGGGATATTGTCTTTCTTTCTTGAAAACGTTCAAGATTATCCATGAGCACATAGATAACCCCATTTTCAGGGATCTTTCCATTACACTGTGTGTGCTGTCAAATTCCATTTGCATTTGTCCCTTTTCAAGGTATTTGTGTTCAACAATTTTGTTCTTTCTGGTACTAATGTCGCTGGTTGCATTTGCCTATTTTGACAAGATAACATTGTGGTCTGATAAGTACAGCCATCACTGTTTTTAATGAATGTGGCATAGTAAAATTATTGTCAGTAGGCTCCTTCAGGAAGTTACTGACACAAGAAGAGAATTCACTGGCAAACAACAGCCCCTACATCTTTGGTTACGTAAAAAAAGAAAAGACAGCTAATTTGGTCCTGTTATGATATAGTGCAGTAGATGAGTTGAACGCCATACTAACAAATCCGCTTCCAAGTCCATGCACACTCGACATAATCTGGTCCCATCCAGTGGGTCTTGTTCAAGCTTCATGTTAGATTCTTTCTCCTACCTTGCGTATACATCACATTGATTCTTCCGACACATATAAAAACAGGTTGCTCTTTTTTTTAAAAATCTCTTTAAAGTCGTCTGGGACAATGTGTGACTAGATTTTTTAATTCCGTTTTCTTTGGCACTCTCTACAAATGCCTCTGAGGCTTTGAAAGTGTTAGCCCAGATAGATTTTGCCTGTATTCTGTCTGTAGTAATGGGAAAGCAATTTCGTCAAGTTTGTCGAAAAATTACTTAGCACAAAATTGCTTGTCCTCTTCTGCTCTCTGGTAATTTGACAACCGTTGAGCTCCCAATCTCCAAGTCATATAAACTGACTTTACAACAGTCATGAATAACCACTGCCTGAGGGCAGTTGTATACAAGCTCACTGTTTTGCATGAATGTGTGAGATTTGTTTCAAATTGAAGTGTACAGCTGGAGAGTTTAAATTTTAGGTTTGTTGACGATAGAATTATCTAACCGAATATGAGTGCTTTTTTTTTTGAGTGACAAATTAAATATCAGTATCATCTACCCGGCACTCATTAACTAATCAATGTTTATTCAAAAATGGTACGTGGCAGTCAGATACCACAAATGACGCGAAAAGTCGCGATAAAAATTTAACAGTTTCCAATAGCTGTACGGTACCGAATGTGAAATAAACGCCTCTTAGCCGTCAATCATAGACTTTTTAAAAATACATTCGTCAGTAGCTTTTGCCACAATTTACCGACTTGGTAGAGCCAGTATTAACATATTCGTTGATGCCATGTTGCCCTTTCTATAATACACTGTGTGGGTCA